GACCCTGGATAGGCGGAAGAAAATGGATGGATGGATGGATGGATGGATGGATGGATGGATGGATGGATGGATGGATGGATGGATTTACCTGAGAACCAAGCTCACCAGAACATTATCCCTTTAGCTGATTAAGCTCATTGAGAACTCAGCAGCTCAGCAGCTCATGCGTGCCTCCCCTAGATCCTCTACAGAGGACTGATAGAGTGCATCCTCACCACGAGCATCACTGTCTGGTATGGGAACACCACTCAGGCAGAGAGTAAGTCTCTGCAAAGAGTCATTAAGGCTGCAGAGGGGATTGTTGGGACCAAACTTCCGTTCATGGAATCCCTGTATGTGCAGCGCTGCAAGAGAAGAGCAGAGGGGATCTGCAGAGACCCAGCCCACCCTGCTCACTGTCTGCTTAGACTCAAACCACCACGGGACCACCGTTTGTGGAACCATTGATTGTGGGACCATTGACTCTGGGACCACCAACTCTGGAACCTGCGGAACCACCGATTGTGGAACCACTGACTGTGGAGCCACTGAGACCACCAATTGAGGAACAAGAACACCAACTCAGGAAATTCAGGAGGGACAGGAACGGATTCAGGTGATTCAGCAGACTACTCAGATGAATTGGTGGACTCAGAGGACTCATGAGCCAAAACAGCCGGCTGGGACACGGGAACCCCAGAAAAAAGACAGGGGTGGAAGGATGGGTGAAAAAAACCACCTGGAGCTGCTTCTCTTGGGAGAGAGGCCCCCGAGAGAAGGGCAGCCGTCTCAGCTAGATTTTTTTGGCATTGCTGTAAAATCTCAGATATGTCCATTAAACTCAAAAAAGTCTTGCCTGCAGGCTGGTAACTTGGTCAGTCCATTATGTGAGGTTTCAGCAAGTACAGACCCAGGGTGCAGGCAAAATCAAAGGTGCAACAAAAAGGTTTATTATGATAAAAAAGAGGGCTGAAGGCAGTAAAAACTTACAGATAAGTACTTCTCAGGAGGAACGGCCAGAACACCACACAGGCTGAGGGGAAACAGCACAATGAACCGACAAGGAGACTGAGAAAGGACAGGGCTTAAATTCACTGAGAACTAATGAACAAACAGAAAACACCTGGGGAGAAACACAAGGGTGATAATCAAGGTAATGTGGGGCAGCTGGGCTGAGACACACAGGGGAACATAGAAACACTAGGGGAACCAAGGTAAACAATGACAAACCATGACAATGAGAGGCACGCACAAGAATTCCAATGCGTGTAAACTGCTAGTATATGCACAAATGGCAAATAAAGATCTATCGATCTATCTATCTACAGGTCTCACCACCCTCTACTCTAAATGGAACATCAATTGTTTTCTTTCTATTACTAAATATCATGTAATTTATTTTATCCAAATTTAATGATAATTTATTATGTTTAAATCAATTCTATAATTTTACAAATTCCATTTCCATCATTTCTAGCATCTTTTCTATATTTTTACCCAGGCAAAAAAATGTGGTGTCATCTGCAAATAAAACACATTTAAACAACCCTGATACATTTACCAAGTCAGTAATACATATATAGGAGAAACAACTTTGGTCCCAATATAGAACCCTGTGGAACCCCACATACAATATTGCAAAGTTCAGATCTTACACCATTAATTTGTACAAACCGTTCCTATTCGTTAAATAACTTGATACCCACTCTAGTGCTGGATCTCTTATTCCATATTTGTTTAATTTCTCCAGAAGGATACTGTGGTCAGTGGTATCAAATGCTTTTTTTAAATCAACAAAAACACTGACACAGTATTGTTTTTGATCTACAGCTGTTGTTATTTGTTCAATTAGGTCCATGAGAGTCATTGATGTTGAGTTATTAGCTCTAAAACCATAATGATTTTTACTTAAAATATTTTGTTTATCGATGAACTGATCCAACCTGGTGACAAACAACTTTTCCTAAATTTTTGAAAACTGTGGTAATAATGATATTGGTCTATAGTTTGTAAACATATGTTTCTCACCACTCTTGTCGAGAGGGATTACTTTTACCCATCATCAGATGGTTCTTGTGTGATACTTGGCCATCATTTGGGAATGAACCAGCTGATAGTAACTTGCACTGACAAGGGGCAGGCTTGHTTTCTAATTACTGAGAGAGTTCAGCTGGTGTCTTGGCTTTCCATGCCTTTTTACACCTCCCTTTCTTCATGTGGTTCAATACTTTTTCCCTGTGCCATTCCACATTATTACAAATAACTTCATTTCTGGACATTTATGGTTTGATTTCTTTGTATGTATGGATCATTTGGGTTGTTACCAACATCTGGTGAAAATTTCATGTCATTAGCACCTCTAGTAATATATTTACTGTGAAAAATGGTGACATGTTCAATACTTATTATACCCGCTGTAAATCTGCAGCAACAGTGTGATTCTATCGTGTCAATATGGACCAGACTCTCTGAGGAGAGTTTACAATACCTTGTTGAATCTATGCCATGAAGGATTAAGACAGTTCTGAAGGCAAAAGTGCTCCAACCTGGTACTAGTAAGTTGTAACTAATAAAGTGGCCGGTGAGTGTATATATTGTTCAAACTCTAAAGTTTCTCACCTTGGGAATGTCATATCCCATCAGCTCTGTGTCTTTAGTGGAGCAGTGGAAGACACTGAGAGGAACAGTGTTGGCAACCCTCTGGACTTCATGGATCACAGCCTGGATTACAACAGAGATGTTACAAACTGTCTTTGAATCAATTATTTTAGGCATCGTATAGAAAGAAATCTCAGAAAAGTTGCAGTTTAACTGATAGAAACACATTCAGACATGCCTCTCAGATTAACCATTCAGATTAACAGAACAGGTGTGTGTGATGATGCTCATCACCTGCATGTAAGGCATGTTGTGTTTGTCCTCAAAACTGACCCGATCCCTCCCATCCAGAACCTGATCTATCTCCTGCTGACATTGATCTGAGGGGGCAGAAACTGTTTTACACATTTTAATTTACTCTTATTTTGTGGTCAAGACAGTAATTTCCAAATGAGTTTAGTCTGTGTTAACCTGCCAACTCAATATTTTAATATATTTTAGGTTTTGTTGCCACCATAATCAATGGCACCCTTCTGGTCACCACGTTAAAACCTTACTTTATTCCCCGTGTTCTTCTGAAAGATGAGACAAATCCTGAAGGTGTACCTTGGACCTGAGGATGGTTCATGAGGTACAGAAACCCAGTCAGGAGGGTGTTGGAGGTGGTGTCAGTTCCAGCAATATAAAGATCAAAAGTGATCCTTCTGAGCTGTTCCTCAGAAAATGAAGAATCTTCTCTCTGGACAGAATACAGAAAATATTGTAGGAGAAACAAAATGTAAGATTTGTGATAACGCTGAGTCAGCATCCAGACGTTTTCCTGGTTTTAGTTTTTTCTGTACCTGTCTCACATTCATCAGCATCATGATGTTGAAGTTTTATATTGTGTTCACACACCTGTTTATCCAGTTCATCCAGGTAGCAGTCCACAAAGTCTCGAGGTTCTCCAGGGGTTCTGGTCCTCTTGTGCTCGTTCACCAAACCATTTGAAAAGTCGAGGTACAGCTAAATCACACATCATTATTTMAACATATGCAGACATGATGTTGTTAGTTTATTGTGCCTAAGCTGTATGAAAATTACCTCCATGTTCTTAAAGGCCTTTTTAAAGGGCAGCGGCAGGTAGGAAACATATGGAACCGAGTCGTACAGCTGAAAGATGGATTAGTACAGAATAAATCAAATTGTGGTTTGTTTGTGTGTATGACCTGCTCTTTTTAGACCTGAATAAGTAGAGTCAAAACAAGAAGAATTCCGGGAGGAACTCTAATGAGGCCTGCCTCATGGTATAAGATAATGTTTGGGATTTTTTTTGGCTACCAAATTTCAGATCATACTTATACATATGAAGACAGCTGAGATTAATGGGACAAGAAACAGGTGTGATTGGGCCTGCTTTATGGGAAGATTGGACACAGATGAGTTTAGAGGGACAGAAAGTAGGTTTTTTGGGGGCTACATTTTGAGAAGATTGGAAAGAGCTGAGATTAATAGGGCAGGAAACAGGTGTGAGGGGCATGGTTGATTGAAGACCAAAAACAATTGAGCCTAATGTAATAAACAGGTGTGATTGAGCCTGTTGACAGGCCTACTTAGACTCACCATAGCCCACGGTCCATTGGCTATTTTAGTCATCTCTGTAAACCATCGAACAACCTTTTTGATGGTTTCATCTTCGTACTCATAACGGGTCCCAAACAGAACCTTACAGATGATGTTGGAGGCTGCATTATGGAACATCACCTGAGGACTCATAATTTTACCTGCACACAGATTTAAATACAGAACATCATAACAACAGCACAACCAAAAGCTTTAAGTATTTTCAGATGTATTAAGCACCAATGCTCTTTTCCAGTGTTTTAACGGTGAACTGAATCTCTTGATGAATTCTCTCCTCCATGGATTTCTTCCCCAGACCAAAATTTCTCAGAGTCATCACTGCAAAACGACGATGTTCCCTCCAAACAGGCCCATAATCAACAAAAATAATTCCTGCAACGAGCAGAGTCACAAAACAAACAGCTTTTACCTGCTGCAGCTAATTAACTTAATTGTAAGGTGTTTTTGCAAGTGTTTCTTAATAAGACTTCATACTTTTACAGCCTTTTCTTGCTTCTGGTGCAACTTTGTCGAGATGTATTCCCAACCATCAAAAGTATGGGGGCCCAATATGGCATAAATAAGGGTAAGTAACAGAGGTTATATCCAAATTAGTTTGCAGGTTCCATGGTAGCCCTACATGTCTTTGCCCACCTTGACTTTAATGGGTCCTGACTGGGTTTTTGTATCATTATTCTCCGACAGCTACAAGCTGTGGTGGACACGAAGCTGAGACGAGCAAGCTGGCTTCAGATGTGGTCGATCATGCGTAGAGCAGATCTTTGTCCTGCAGACCATCATTGAGCAGAGCCTGGAAAACCAATAACGGCTATCAGTCAGCTTCGTAGACTTCACCAAAGCTTTCGACAGTGTCCATAGGGAGTCGCTTTGGAAAACTGTGAGGTGGTATGGAATTCCTGAACAGTTTGTCCAAGTTTTCCAAAACCTCTATCTGAACTCAAGCTGCTATGTACAAACAGAGGAAGAAACAACAAAGTTCTTCGCCATTGAGACCGGTGTGCACCAGTGGTGTATACTTTACCCGTTCCTATTCCTCCTGGTCATTGACTGTATTCTGTGCAGGACCATGGATTGAGCAGATGTCTGAGTAACGTGGACCGAATCGGTCCAACTTACAGATATTGACTTTGTTGTCCCAAGAAATGCAATGTCATCTGCAAAGTCGATATCTGTAAGTTGGACCGATTCGGTCCACGTTACTCAGAAATCTGCTCAATTGTTGTTTGTTGTCCCAAGAAACGCAATGTCATCTGCAAACAAGAGCATCATTGACATGACCCAGAGCCTTGATGGAGGATCAAACAAGGTCAGACTCCGGATTAACATCAAGAAGACCAAGATCATGCAAGTTGGGTATGCCATGGCTGGCACCCCCACCACTATCATACCACACCAGATTGAAGGAGTGCAAAGGTTCATGTACCTGGGCAGCATTATAACCAATGATGGTGATGCAGAACATGATGAGGCATGCTGGATTGTGAAGGCGGGAGCTGTTTTTCAGCAGCTCCGACAAATTTGGGTGTCTACGACCATCAGCACAGCGACAAAGATCCACAGTTTTTAACTTGATTGTCAACCTAACAGTCATATACGCACGTGAAACATGAAAGAATTCTTCAAAGATTGAAAGAAGAATGAACGTTGCCCACCAGCGGCGATTATGACATATCCCGCAAGTCTCATCCCGGGACCACATCACTAACAATGAGATCCATCGCAGAACTGCCACTTGTCCACTGAACAACATTGTGGCAGAACTCCGACTAAGATTTGCTGGACATGTCCTCTGTCAGAAAACAACATGCCTACCGAAAACCACCATCCAGTGGATATCACCATGTGAAGCGGAAACGAGGGTGTCCCCAACAGAATTGGCGCTGTAAATTCCACGAAGACCTCAAGGCCCTATATTAGTCAAGACGAGGGTGGTTGCAATAGATCGACCCCAATGGAGACGTCTTGCCGCCCAATGTGCCGGGTTTTCATTCGGACCCAGATGGTTTACTTGCATAAGGCCCATCTATGACCATTCTGTGTATAGAGTCTCAGCTGGGCTAGAATCTGGATAACAAGTGGATATGTCCACAGCTTCCATGGTGGCTGTATCAATCACCTTTATTCAACCAGGTAGAGCCCATTGAGATCGAGATCTCTTTTACAAGGATGACCTGGTCAAGTTGTCATCAGCACATGTCACATACTAGTAATTGACAAAGCATTTGCATTGATCAAAACGAAATAAGGAAAGAGAAAAAAAGAAAAGAAAACTACAATCACAATAAATAGATGTTGATAGTTCAGAAACATCTGGATAAGACAGAATTCTATAGGTATTTACAATATTTGGTAGACCTGAAAAGAAATTTAGGTGAGAAAAAAATAAGTCAAGGAATAAAAATATACAGACATCGTTTGAGATATAATTAAACAAACAGACAGTGATGTATAATGGATAGGTAATGTTTAGAAACATCTGCAACGGACAAGTTTCTTGATGACGTTATCTATTACGGTTGACATGAAGGATCTAGGACTGATGAATGTTGACAGTTTCAGATCTGTCTGTAAGTTGTTCCAGGTTGAGGGGGCTGCGAAGCTGAATGCTCTTTTTCCTAGTTCAGTTCTGACTGGAGGCACTGATAGGAGGACTAGATTGTTAGAGCGCAGGGAGTAATGACTGTGTGTTGTTTGTATTAAGGAGGTAAGGTATAATGGGACTAGGTTTAGCAGGGTCTTGTAGATGATGGATATCCAGTGGGTGTATCTGTGGGCATTGAGAGATGTCCAGCCAGATTTGACGTAAAGGTCACAGTGAAGAGTCTGATAAGTGGAGTCAGTAATGAACCGAAGAGCACTATGGTAAATGGAGTCTAAGGACTGGAGGTATTTTTGATGCAGCACTCATGTAGAGCACGTCACCATAATCTAATATCGGCATGAATGTAGCAGCTACCAATATTATCCTTGCTTTGCATGTGAAGCAGGATTTGTTTCTGAAGAAGAAGCCTAGCTTCAGTTTGAGTTTAGAGGCCATTTTGAAGATGTGTGTTTTAAAAGACAGGTCACTATCAAAGTAGAAACCTAGGTATTTGTAGGTGGAGACCATTTCTATTAGATTTCCCTGTTTGGTTTTGATTTGAGCTGGGTTCACTGATTGCTGTTTTCTGCTGGATAAGACCATGATCTTGATTTTTTTCAGCATTTAAGACCAGTTTAAGTTTTTGCAGACGTGACTGAATGATATTAAAAGTGTCCTGAAGAGAGGTGAAAGCTTGGCTGAGGGAGGATGAACAGCAATAGATGATGGTGTCATCTGCATAGTAATGATGGGAGGCATTTGACAGATTGCTGCACAGGTTGTTGATGTAAAGAGGGAAAAGAATGGGACCCAGTACAAAACCCTGTGGCACCCCTTTCACAACATCTAAGAAGGTAGAGGAGGATCTAGCTACATGAACAGACTGTATTCTGTCAGTTAGGTAGTTGGTGAACCAGGAAACTGCATGTTTTGATAGACCAGAGTGTTCCAGGATGTTTGTTAGTAGCCTGTGATCAACTGTGTCAAATGCTTTGGATAGATCTATAAATAGTGCAACACAGTATTGTTTGCAGTCAAGGGCATGAATGAGATCATTTAGTACTTTTAGAACTGTGATAACAGCGCTGTGTTGTTTTCTGAATCCTGACTGAAATTGTGATGAATTTTGTTAGATTGTAGGAAATCAGTTAAATGATCGCAGATGAGTCTTTCAAACAGTTTGGCAAGAATGCACAATTTAGAAAATGGTCTGTAGTTGTTAACATCAGTTTGTTCATCCCCTTTTAGCAGAGGGAGAACAAAAGCTGATTTCCAGATTTTTGGTATTGTATTTGTGTTGAGGCTGAGATTAAAAATATATGAAAGTGGTTCGGCAATGAAATTTGCAGCTAATTTTAGGAAAAATGGTTCAATGTTGTCAGGTCCTGCTGCTTTGTGGGTATCAAGAGTTTTTAGAGCATTTAGAAACTCAGAGGGAGATACAGGGGAAAACTTATGGACGTGTTGATGTTTGAATTAGTTGTGTTAGATTAAAAGATTCACAGATGTGTTTAAAATTGTTAGATGTAGATGTCAACCAGTCCAGGTTAAGATCACCAATTAGTCGAAGCTCTTTAGCATTTAGCCCCATCAGAAAATTTCTCAGGGATGTGAGGACTTCACTGGAGGCTGAAGGGGGTCTGTAACAACCCACCACAGTGATTGACTGACCATCAGGGAAGTCTAGTTTTAGCGCCAACAGCTCAAGCTGTTTGCTAATGGAGCAAGAAGACAGACATTTTGCTGTGATTTTGTTCCTGATATAAATAGCCACTCCACCACCTCTTTTGGGGCAATCACATCTAAAAATGTTAAAACCTGGAATGGAAATTTGTTTGTCCGAATATATCTTTGCTGAGCCATGTTTCAGATAAGACTATTATGTCTGCTTCCATGGACTGAAGCCAGATTTTTACTGCATCTAGTTTTGGATATAAGGCTTCTGGCATTTAAATGTAAAAAATCCAGACCAGACCGGTTTTTAAGTTCAAATGGTGTACACATGTCATGTAGCTGTGGGGTCCTGGGTTTGGTTCAATCCCAGAGAGAAGAAGAAACAAAACAATTAAATGTCCTGATGCATCTCAGTAATCCGGGTAAAAATTCCAAAAGAAAAAAATAGTATAGGTCTTCTGGACGGGTTCTTCTCTAATGAAACATTTCGTCTCTCCTCCAAGAGACTTCTTCAGTCTGAGAGATTCAGGCTAAATTCAGGCTTTTGAGCCCAGCCTCCATGTGACTGATACTCACATTACATGGCAATCGTTGACACCTAATTAACACCTATTGTTAACAGGGGGTGGAGTGATACTGGCAATAGCAGCAATGTAGGAGGGGGACAACTGAAAATGGAGGCCTCCACCTCTGTTTAATGATGGACGGTCTTTCTTTACAAAAATGTCTTCTTTTACTCCTCTCTCAAACCAACGTTCCTCTCTATCAAGAATGAGAACATCCTCATCTCTGAAAGAGTGACCGCTGGCCTGTAAATGAGTGAAAACTGCAGAGTTCTGGCCATTAGACGTAGCTCGTCTGTGTTTGGGACATTCTAAGGGCCAGAACTCTGCAGTTTTCACTCATTTACAGGCCAGCGGTCACTCTTTCAGAGATGAGGATGTTCTCATTCTTGATAGAGAGGAACGTTGGTTTGAGAGAGGAGTAAAAGAAGACATTTTTGTAAAGAAAGACCGTCCGTCATTAAACAGAGGTGGAGGCCTCCGTTTTCAGCTGTCCCCCTCCTACAGCGTTGCCATTGGTAAATGGTAAATGGTAAATGGTAA